AGGTTAAATATGTGATGCGCTTTATTTTTATTTAATTTTACTGTACGACTGGTAATTTAAAGTAGCATTCTAGTTTGATTCTAATATATTGTTGCCAAATCTGTTAGTTGGCGCCAGTGTTAAACACTTGATAGTGTGATCTAAATTAAAAATAATTTTGTTTTTTTCTTTATAGTAAGATATATTATGTATTTTTGGTTGATCTTTACATTATGGTAACTTGGCGTTTTTTGGCGAAAATTTGGCGACCAACTCTACTACAGCAACTTTCTATTTTTTTCCCCTCCGCCATTTTGTCTTCACGAAGTAAAGACATGTTTCTTTTCTTTTTATCTACTGAACACTTCTTCCAACAATCTACTAGCCGAATTACACTTATGCTAGAAATTTTATCAAACAAAACTGCTTAATCATGACAAATATTCACTGCAAAATTGGGAAAAAGTGCACAATACCATACTCCTTACGCGTTTTTCAAAATAACACATACACATAAACCATGTACACGCCGACTTACTTTTACTTAAAAAAAATATTCCAGAATTGCACAAAAATGGCATTGCACACACTCTTCACTATATCCATGTACACTGCTTTTTTCTCATAAATTAGAAAAATTTCACGAAAATACATGACAATTTTCTCAATCTTTAAACCCGGAAAAAAGAGCATATCTGAAATTACCTGATTGCGAAAAAGTATTTACCCTTTCCAAATATGAACATTTCCACATATAAAATAAATAAAATATCCAAAAACTTTTACCTCTAAATCATCTATTACATATACACGTCACCAACGAATTCATACCGCAAGCATTACGAATACTTAGTATCAAATATTTAAATTATTTCCATGCACGTTTATTTCAACTTAAACGTATACCAAATTCCTACAAACATAAAATTCACAAAATAACTATCATTTAATTAAAATATAATTAAATTCAAAAACACTACTTAAAATATAAATGAGCACATACATAAATACCCATTTCGAATTCACTTTAGTTAACGCCATGGGATCCAAAAATTCACGAACACTGTTTCACACAACACAGAATAAAACCAAATACAAAATTTCCAGATTTTTTCCCGATTTCCCCCTTTTTCCGATTAAAGAACCGTAATTCGTCCATTAATATCACATGACATATCCCATGATCTCTCATTTCCCTCACACAAAATAATGCGTAATCGGAACTGAGTACTGCTCACATTATTACCAAAGTCCCAAGTAGTAACCTTTATCGCCTCCAAAATGTCGCCAAACTACCAGTTACCATATTGTAAAGATCAACCGTATTTTTTAGGAATTTTGAAGACGTTAAGTATTAATTTAAATATTCGACAAATTGTTTTGAGCCCATTATAATGCATCTAGTAGTAGATCTTCATGTTGCATTTTTAAGTATACTTACTTTAAATTTACTTAAATGTGTGAACAGGAAATATGTTTTAAGTAGCTTTACAAAATTAATCCTATTTTCGTATAAAAATTAAAATTTATCAGAAAATTGCATTCCTAAAAGTGTGATTAAATTCATTTAATACATGTAACTGTTCTTAAATACTAGTGCTTTAGATTTTAATGTTAAATTTCATGCATGCTTTTGTTAAATTTGCAAGTAAATTTTAAAGAAAATCAATTTGTTCATAAATCTGTCGTGGAAGATCTCATGTTCAGCTAAATCAAATTTACTTTTGTGTGAGTTTAAATTTAGACACCGATCGTAAATTTGTTTTGGCATATTCATAATTTTGATTGGAAAACTTAGTGCTACTGTGAAAGAATGATCAACTGATTTTTACCTTATTATTGTAATGACTTGCAAGATTTTTCACAATGTGATGTTGCATACGTTTTACTCTTCTTTGTTATCAAATACCTAAAAGAGTATATTCCTTATCTGATATTTCTTCTTTTGTAAGAGTGTAATATATGAAAATGTGATACTTGGGATTTTTTTTAGAGTACATATCATTATTATTTTTTTTGACATGCTAATAGAACCAGTGTATTTTATTTGCGGTACAACACTGATATACGCCCTAATTTCACCAAATGTGGCGATATGTGTTCTGCGCTGGTTTTTGGAGCAACCCTATTGACCTTGAAACCCTATTGACGTTGAAAAGTCTTTCGCAGGAGTTCGTCGGTTCCCGTCATGCTTTGTGTCTGAGAAGCTAAGGGGGAAAGATTTAATGGTGAAAGTTGTTGAATTGAAGTTCGGCATAAGGAAATATCGTCGTGGTCATCCTGTTGAGGGGCAATGGGTATTTGGAGGTGTAGAAAGAAGGTATGGGAGATTATTTTTAGTGGTTGTGCTTGATAGAAGTAGGGATTTGTGATTATTTGTTATTTTATTTATTTGTGAACCATAGTATGAATTTTCTGGATAGTGTGTCTGGCTGTCATATAAATACGATACTAGTGATTACGTGGCGGTATGAAATTGGTATATCTGCTCTTCGAAAAAGCATTAATGATAAGTGCATTTTATTTTATTCTTGTTCTTATTTTGTAGAATGTAATGTTCATTGTTTTTTTTAGTATGAATTTCTGTCGTTGTTGTTGTTTTTTTTTTTTTTGAATTGTTTGAAATTTATTTTAAGTTATTTTAGTTTATTTTGTTGATTAGTGCGTACCGTCTAGATTGTGCAATTCGTAGATGTTTTTTAAAGTTGATGAAACAGAACGCTGTGTACATGGTATTCTTTGAAATTTATTGTTGTTATGTTAATTTATTAAAGTGAGGTGCGCGTAGTTCGTAGATTCGTTTGTTGCCTAAATTGTGCAATTCGTAGATTTTTTTTTAATTGAAACAGGATGCTGTGTACATGGTATTCTTTGAAATTTATTGTTATGTTAATTTATTAAAGCGAGGTGTGCGTAGTTCGTAAATTCGTTCGTTGCCTAGATTGTGCCATTCGTAGATGTTTTTTTAAATTAAAACATATCGCTGTGTACATGGACTCTTGTAAAATAATTTTGGTTAGAAACTTCACGGTTTTGCTATCTAAATTTTTTGTTTTTGTTTCGGATTTTTAACTTAAATTGTGTGTTCAAAACGTGGTTTTTGCATTCGCGAAAACCGTGTTTTTGGAGACATTTTAGGTTTAAAGTTCGAAATGTAGACAAAAAATTTAGATAGCAATATGGCAGCGTGGAGTTTCTCGCCAAAAATATTTGGCGCCTTGAGGGCGCATATCAGAGTAGTTCCTTATTTACTTGTTGCTTTAAAACAGGTTTTAAATCAAGGCTATTTTTTTTCTGCCTACTCAGTATGCACATAAAACTTACTTAAGCTATATTTTTAACAAATTAATGAGATATATGTTTTAGGTTAGCTGCTTTAATAGAAAAAGAACTAAACTAAAATGATATTATACCTTGAAACATTTTATTGAAAATAATATCTTAGCAGTGTTGGCTAAGATGTATTCAGACCTTTTTTTTTTTCATTTATTTTGATATTTCCATATACATTCATTTAAATAAGAAGTAAAATCATTCTATATAAAGCTGTTGATTTATAATAGAAAAACATATCAAATTACTGCTGTATTTTAATAAGATTTCCATATAATGGAATGAATTGCACTACATTAAGAAAAAAAAAAAAAAAAAAAAGTGAAAAAATTCTGTTTTTGCATTATTTTCACTATCTGTGTTTTGCATATGCTTGTTACAAGAGGCCATAATCTATAGATCTGTAGCTAAATGATATTTTTATGTTTTTACATATGGAAATTAACTAAGAAGAAGAACTGTGATTTAAGCATTGCCCTTGCAGTGGTATAGATTGAATCTTATATAGGTTATGGAATTATCATTAAATATTCAGATAAGTGTAATATTAACAGCATATGTATGTTTTTTTTTCATCATTTAATGCATGTAAATTCTTACAAATTTATCAGTATTTTTTCTTCTTGTGTTATAAAAGTAGCTATCAATAACAATAATTGATTAGTAAATAATATCTGAAAATTCCGTATGTAAAAGTATTATTTTTATTTATTTATGTACGTATTATTTTTTAATTTCGTTTTACCTAAACAAGGGTGAAAAAATATTTTTGATGTGGAATTTTTACTCTACTAAATCTATACAAAAAATTATTTTTTTGCCATCAGAGAACTGAAGTATTTTTCACAGCATTTTGCACTTCAATCTGAGCATTATAATTTAAAGGTGCATGTCTTGAACCAGTATTTAAAATTATAAAGCCTTTTTTGGAAACACATGCAAAATAACATTTTTAACCAGTTTGCTACAATAATAGATGTTAGATTCCATGTAAGCAAACTTCAAATAGCATATTTAAATTAAAAAACATGCTTTATATGCAGACATGCTATTAATTTTTTTCAGAAGTTTAAACTGTGAACTTGCTAGATATATTAAAGCGCCAGCATGCACTTATGTATTCATCATGTAAAAATTTATTGAGAATTTTAGAAAATTATCTGTTGAAGCTTTTGAAACTTAAAAATTACTGAAGTTGTATTTATACCAATTTGTACCCACAGTTTTAATGGCCTCTAAATAGTTTAACATGTAATGTAAATAAAAGTAATATGCTTAACTCCATCAGTACTGAAATGCCATAGCTCAGAAATTAAGAATTATCATACAAATAGAGCACGGAGAGATGTCTAATTTTTATATGACACATGAAATTACCTTGAATTCTAAAAGGAAAAAAGGATTTTAGGAGTCAGATCATACTTTAGGAGTCAGATTCAGGACTCTTTTTGCCCCTGACACACATTCTGTTTGATGGCTATATCAGCAGGAGATCATGGTCAAAGAGAACGCTCTCTCTCATCACGATTCCCCTAAAAATCTTCTTTGTTTCGTACCCACTCACGAATAGCAAGTTCAAAGATGTGAGCCTCAACGAAAGCGGGGAATCTTTCCACAAAATTCAGTACATTTACATTTATTTGGCATGTTAATTTATTTATGGAGCTTAAATTAGTATTTGAATCTGGCAACAACGTCTCTACCTCGTTATCTGTATGTTTGTTTGTGTTGTGTATCATCGGGAGGTGGTAGTTTTCGAAGTGTGTGTGTGTGTGTAATGTATGTTTTTTTATTGGTCAGTGTAAAGTTAACTTATATTTTTTTAATGTAAGTTGATTACTGTACTAGTAATAATAACAATTTGTATAATTTCTTTTAAATGTTTACCTTTTTCCGTATAAAATTTTGAATGTTAATTAAATTTTAAGGTTGCCGGCATAAACTCACATTATTTCAATTTTTTATTAATTAGGCTGTTTGTCATTTGTTATAGCATTACTCTATCAGATGAAGAATGAATTTACACTTGTTTTGCGTATAATTAATTTTATTTCTCTGTTAAGTTACGTGAAAGGTTTCGTGAAATTCCCCCTGCGAAAGCTTTTTATGGAGGCTGATTGAGCTCTATATTAATTTTTATACAACTCTGCATGCATATCTCTAGAACTGTACCAGCCTCTAAAAAAGTTTTTTCTCAAGTCGTAATATTTTTTTTTTTTTTTAAATTTAACAAGAAAAAAGGTTTGATTTTATTATGTATATATTGAAGTTACAGTAAACACAGTAGTACTAATAAAGTTTTCACAAAGAAGAGGGACATAGAAACCCGCTGTTTCTACCACTTCTAAATTCCTTTTCAGTTGATATAAGGGGTGTATTTTAATCCAATTGTATGTATTGTAAGTTTTTGACTTTTCTCTGTTATAGTGGCCTTGGCAAGAAAAAAAGTGTATTTCCACCTTGACAAGTAACAAACGGTTACCGATATTCACCAGCAATCTATTTAATGTATATATTAAGAAGAAATTCAGTTATTTATGTATTTTCCTGCCAATTGAGAAAATTGATAGAGATCCCATAAAACTTATGCTGATAATTCTGGCAGAAGTGTGTTCTAGGGATTTTACCTAGATGTTTTAGGGGTTTATTAAGTGATTTTTCTTGAAGCTTTTCACATTCATAATGGTTTATCTTGTTTAATTAATGACTTTAAGTCTAATCCTTCCTGATGCTTTTAAAATTCTATTAAATTAATTTTTCAGTTTTGTTAATATTTTTACTGATAGATGGTGCTAGCTTCCTGTTCACTTTAATTATGGAGTATAAATATGGCTATTACACCCATGCTCTCCAGTCCTGCAGGTTTCATTGGTCCTGATGGACCTGTGTCTGTCTGTCTTCAAAATCAATCGAGATCGTGACAGCCAGACTCCAGTTTTTTGTTTTACTAGTTTTGTGTTTCACTTCACATGTTCCTCTTCTGTTTTCAGCAAAATATATATTAAAACCATATAAAAATTTACGGAAAAAAGCCTCCTAAAGCAGAAGGCTAAGAATATGGAGCAACTTTCTGAGGCCGTAAAAATAATTTTAACCATATAAATCTGAGTGCTTTTGAAGCATGATGACCGACAAGCTTTCATATAATAAAAAATCTGTTAATAAGATTCAATAACACACAATATCAGAAGGTAAGGCTGCTGTGAATCATTGGTGATGCACATATCAGTCAAGGTGTTAATTCAGTTGATTGTAACATTGAGCAAAATGTATTTTTATGGGCAAGTTAGATTGAAATTAATTTTAATAATAGTTGGATTTATGAGAAAAAGTGCTTTCAATTTACTTTTATTAATACTTTCATCTGTTCGTACTCAATTTATCCCAGTAGTTATCCTGGGTTTATATATAATTGTAATGATACTGCAGGAGTTTTCTTTTTCAGTAAAAATATATTTATGGGTGCCCCTTGGCAATTTTTTGTGGTACATGAACACCGAGTTTAATTCTTTGACTTTGTGTAGTGCCGATTTTTGCACCAAAAATTCTTGCTACACAAAGCCAAAATAACAAGAATTGCATGAACTCAGTATCCATGTGCACATCAACCTATTTTCACTTAAAACAAATTAGGGAATTACACAAACTTGGCATTGCACACTCCCTTGACTTTGTCATGTACACATCAATCTATTTTCACTTATAAAGTCAAAGGAGCAACCAGTTCTACACTAGAACCAATATATATATATATATATATATATATAATCTCAATAAACTACATTTTAAATCAAACAATAAAACAACATAAAAAAGGAAATTCATCTTAGCAACTACACAAAGGAAATGTCCACTTACCTTATTTAAAAATTTCTGTGTCTTCAAACAAAATTCCTTAACAGCATCTAAAAACTTCTTAAATTATCTGAACTAGAATCGGTGTATTGGCGTAGCCACATAAATTAAAAAATAAGAGAAAAAATATCCTCCATAGTGCCGATATCCTCCGACGTTCGGCCATACGCATTTCCTTCGTACAAACAGGACACTTAAATGGCTACTAAGTAAACCTTCATTTAAACACCAGTCAATGAATGCTTTTTTCCTTTTCATTCCAAATCATAAAAGAAATTCAAATTAATCTTACCACATTCAGCCATTTTACCGTGTAAACCAAAAATAACCAACATCCAACTCACAAACACACTTACAAATCTTTTCCCATCATTCAAATTGACCACAATTACGTCATTATAAGGTTTCAATAACATTCAGCTGGTTACCATAAAGGAAACAACAACTTGACGATAATGAAATAACAACTTAGCGATAATCCAAGGGGCACCCTTAAATATACTTTAACATCTGCTTCATATGAAAAGTTTTTATGTCATGCATTTGTTTCATTCGTATAATTGTATTACACCATTTCAAAGTTGTACAAAAATGTTATAAATTTATTTTAAAAATATAATTTGGGTAAAAACAATTTTGAATAAATTTCCTTGAGGTTAAACATATTTTCTTTTCTTTTTCAGAAGCATGTGCCTTTCTTCCAGTCCTCAATTCTGGTGATACTAGTTTAATCTGAAACAAAAATCAATCAATAAAATGGCAAATTATAAAGCTAGGTAAAGTGTTCCCTTTTTATTTTAGAGTTGTAAAATTTTTCAATTTGATGGATTCTGTCATTCTTAGACACTTTTCTACTTTTATTTAAGGAGAACTTTTGTTCCATTGAAATTTTAAGCATATAGAATTATATTTCTTTTCCTCTTTCCCTTCCTCCTCTTTTTAATAGATATTTTTATCCCAAAATAAACTGATTTTTAGTTTTCAATTTTCTATATTAAGATAACCTGGATGTTTTCTTGTTGCTCATTTTCCAGGACAATTCCTGTTTACATTTTTTTTTTTTTTTTCTTTTTAATCAAAATGACACTTCATGAAACTGTAAAAAATCATCAAGTTATTTTAAACACATCACTTTGTAACAATATATCACTCAATTATTTATTACATTGGTATTTATTATGTAAAAAAGTGTGTGAATATACGAAATAAATTTTGGTACTTTCTGATTATTTGCACCTCCCTGAAAAAGTCGTCAAATATTAGTGACTAGTTTTTTTGGTCACACAAAAGGCAACAGCCATTTTTTAATATGGCAGTGCACTAAGAATTGCATAAAATGGCCAATGATTAACAAAATTAAAAACGAAGGAACATCTGCAATAGAACACTTTGGAGGACATTGTTCTCCCCATAAACAAAGCAATGCATTTTAACTTAAAAAATATCAGAGCATTGCACAAATTTGGCATTGTGTATGATTTTTTTTTTTTTTTTTGATGAGCACGCTGTGCACAATTATCTCTTAAATAAAAATAGTAGAAATTCATCGTCATCGTAAGCAGTACACCTTCATGGAATGCGAAATTTTGTATTGTTGAGCAAAATGGAATACTTTCTTTTCATCAGCTGACAAACTCTACGGTCCCATTATGATCCCTTACGAGAAAAACTGTGATGTGAACACCATAGTTTCCTTGTATGGCCTATTAAATTATACACTTTTTTTTACTGCAATAGTAAACTAAGTGTTATTAAATATTTTTAGATATTTATTGTTTGACTAACTACATATATAAGCTGTTATTATATATGTAGTTAGATGCTTGTAAATTTTTTTTTTTCAGAACATAAATATTTTTATCATGAAAAAATGCTTCTGTAATTGGAAATATGCAACTATGACCAATGATTGCAAAAATTAAAGCCTTTTTAAGCTGGGAAAGAGGGGTTTTGTGTGTGTTTGTATATATACAGTCAAAAGTCGTTAATCCGGACTCGTCGGGACTTCGGCGATTCCGGATTATCGATTTTTCCGGATTATAGATCATCAGTTTAAATCTGGTAAGATGGCATGCAGAAATTACAAAATTAAAAATATGAAACCGTAATTTATGAAATAAAGAACAATTATGATCTAAAGGGTATCAAAATTTACAAAAAGAAAAAGCTTAATATTTATTGTTTACTTTATTAAACATTTCCTTCAATGTAAGTTGCTTCGTTACATGTGATAATACTTTCTCTTTAATTCTATTAAAAGACACATAATTTCTTGTTTAGTTACAAAGTTCCGCTGTTCAAGTCCTATAATTGCTGTGTTGAGAATACCGACTAATTTGTCAATCGAAATGTTTTTGTTTTCAATAACCTCTGTCACTTTTCTTCGCTATCGGAAGCGAATTATAATGACGAGGAACTTGATTTAAATCATATCAAAGACGGAGTATATCGAGATGAAATACTGCACTTAGTACGGAATTATAAACCAAATAAAATAAAAACATCTGAAGATAAGGATAGTGCTGACAGATCAACTTCCAATCCGCAGCGTGAAATTGATAAACAGATTTCGGATTTCAAAACATACTTTCGCTTTGTAGATACAAATTACATATTAGTAAATATATATCGGAAATTCTATTTGACATAATCTTTCTAATCTATCATAATCTAATAATGACGTTTCTGCCCCCCCCCCTCTGCCGCAGAGCAGCGTGAAATTGATAAACAGATTTCGGATTTCAAAACATACTTTCGCTTTGTAGTAAATATATATCGGAAATTCTATTTGACATAATCAAAAGTTCAAGCTTACTTTTATAAAATTGCTCTAACAGTCTGCAAAAAATAATAAGCCGGATCCAATTCGAAGATTAAGGAACAACGCAATCTGCAACATTAACTGAATTAGATAACTTTAGCTTAGCGTATAACTCCGTTACACATTAAACGCGCATGCGCACAAACATATTCGCAGCTGTAAGGGTTTTATGCGCTCTCGTAAACGCCTGTGCGCATGCGTGAAAGCGACGCATGCGCAGAAAGTTTGTAGCTTTGAGGTCCGGATTATAGATCATTCCGGATTATGGGTGTCCGAATTAACGACTTTTGACTGTATATATAAATCACTTCTTTCTGGCATCAGTTTGTACCTAAATTTGTATTTAAATACTTTTGATTTTGCATTTAAATCTAAAAGAATGTATTAATTTGTACACATTTCTGTTCATATATCTTCGTTTATATATATTTCAATTTCTTATGTTAATTTGCACTAAATTTGTGCAGGTTTCGGTAGTTTTTTACTGTTTTTACTGTACTGTGCGAGTGTTGGGGAAAGGTTTTTTTAAAGTGAGAATCTGACTTATTTCAGTTCTTTACACATGCCTTAAATTAAAAAGAAAATCTTATTTATTTTTATTTTCAATTTTGTTTATGGGAAATATTTTAGCTCAGACTAATTATCTCTCTCATTTTTGAGATTTTCACATAGTTTATGATTTAACTCTAATAAAATTTAAATTAAATAACAAATAATTTGATCCTTGCTTGGAAAAAAGATGAAACACTCTCACTTAATGTGGTTATTCTTAGTTGATATTGGATTGGTTTGTTCCTTTAAAAAGCCAATTAATCTACAGTCAGTAACAATGCCTACCTTTTCAGTACTTTAAATTTTGCTTTTAAATTTTATTATTAGAATTTTTCCAGTTTAAAATATTTCTTTACAGCTTATTAAAATATTTTTACTTAAATATTTTACTAAATAACTTAACTTAAAATACTGATTCAAATTTGTTCCAATAATTCAGTGCATTAATTAAATTTATGTTTCTTACAGATATATAAAAAACTTTTCTAATAATTATATATATACACGTTTGGTCTGATTGTAAGTAAAAAAAAAGAAGGTCCACAACTGGATGTTATACAGTCAAAAGTCGTTAATCCGGACTTGTCGGGACTTTGTCGATTCCGGATTATAGATCATCAGTTTAAATCTGGTAAGATGGCATACAGAAATTATAAAATTAAAAATATGAAACCGTAATTTATGAAATAAAGAACAATTATGATCTAAAGCGTATCATAATTTACAAAAAAAAAAAAATAAAAAAAAAAGCTTAATATTTATTTGTTTACTTTATTAAACATTGCTTTCAATGTAAGTTGTTTAAGTTGCTTCGTTTTTTATGTGATAATACATTCTCTTTAATTCTATAAACAGACATAATTTCTTGTTCAGTTACAAAGTTCCGCTGTTCAAGTCCTATAATTGCTGTGTCAAGAATATTGACTAATTTGTCAATCGAAATTTTTCGTTTTCAATAACCTCTGTCACTTTCTTCGCTATCGGAAGCGGATTATAATGATGAGGAATTTGATTTAAATCATATCAAAGGTGAAGTACATCGAGATGAAATGCTATATTTAGTAAGGAATTATAAGCCAAATAAAATAAAAACATCTGCCCTGAAGATAAGGATAGTGCTGACATATCAACTTCCAATTCATTGCGCGCCGCAGCATTAAAGATAAACCAAAGTTTAGATAAACAAACGTTAAAGTTTAGATAAACAAAGGATATTGCTTTATTCATTTTTTGCAGCAAATCCACTTTTTGTTTAATGGACTTGGAAACATACTTTCGCTTTGTAGATCCTTTAAATATTAGTAAATATATATCAGAAATTCTATTTGACATAATCGAAAGTTCAAGCTTACTTTTATGAAAGTGCTCTAACAGTCTGCAAAAAATGATAAGCCAAATCCAATTCGAAGATTAAGGAATAATGCAATCTGCAACAGTAATTGAATTACATAATTTTAGCTTAGCTTATACCGTCCGTTATACATTAAATGCGTATTCGTAAACGTATTTTGCGCACACGCACATGCATATTCGCAGCCGTAAAGGTCTTACGCGCATGTGTCAACGTGACGCATGAGCAGAAAGTTTGTAGCTTTGAGGTCCGGATTATGGGTGTCCGAATTAACGACTTTTGACTGTAGCAGTTTTTTCCATGTGGTTTTCTCTCCACTTAGGGAAGTGTGTGTGTGCCATAATAGGAACTTAGGGAAAGTTATGTGTTTACTTTCCCAAGTGTTCCTCTCCACTTAGGGAAGTGTGTGTTGATTACGACAAAGCCTAGTGTGCTATGCCATAATCAACTAAACCAGTCCCATGTACGAAATTTCAATGTTCTACACCTAATCCTTTTTTAGCTACACAAGATATGTCTGTACAAACACAGTTCACCAAAAAAATCCCTTTTAAATCCATTTTACAGTCTGTTTTGTAAAAAAAAAAAAAGAAAAAAAGTCCTTTATTCTGTTTGTAGATACAAAAGTCACACAAAAAAATTATTCAAATAAATTTAGGAATGGCAATGGTTGAAATGGACATTTTTGTTGAAATGTGATATCCAAAATTTTTCATGATTAAAATACTTCATTTATGTAAAAGTGAAAAAGGAAGTAAAAAAAATATACTCTGTATACATTTTTATAAAAAAAAGAGAGTGTGACAAAAAATTTATCAGAAAATGTTGAACTTAAAGGCAGAAATCAACTCTCATATTCTGTGCTTACGCATACCTTGGTTGCCACATAAATACATTTTGCGCACATAGTACATTTCCTTATGTATACTTTTCAAAGGGCTGCAGATAATCAGAAAGTACCTGAATTAGGTACCCGTAGAGTAACCTTAGAGTAAATTTTTGTCGTTGACATAATTTCTTGACATTTTTGTTTTATAATAACAAAGTTGGTA